TTTCATCATTCAATTCTTCTACTGAGGTTAAATAACATAACATTTTACTGAAAACTTTCAGGAGAATAAGTCACAGGACTCACCATCAGAATCATGGAAATGTAGAAAAAGATGAGTCATGGGTTCCGGTAAAAATTATTTATCTGCTCGCTTTGCTTCTGTCAAATATGAAAGTATATGGACATATATATCCAATGGTGCCACTACTACAATACCAAATCTGAAAATGTAATTTATTATATTTTTCTCTATTTCTTTCAGCTGCCTGAGAAGATCTACAAGAATTTGGAGACTAGCACTCGAATTCTAAGATTCACATTGCCCTTCCCCTTGTTTGCATATCCTATATATCTGGTAAGAGTACTATTGTTTTCATTGGACTTTCATCATAAGATTAAAGATTATGCTCCACCTGGCATAGGAAGCTTAATTAACTTTTGTCTCTCTCATTTTACTAGTGGTATAGAACTCCAGGCAAGGAAGGATCTCACTTCAACCCTTATAGTGACTTGTTCACGCCGAATGAAAGGAAATTTGTGATGACTTCAATTGCCTGTTGGATGGTAGTTGCTTCTATTCTTGTATATTTATGCTTCCCGATCGGTTCACTCCATATGCTCAAGCTTTATGGTGTTCCTTATTTGGTCAGTAAAACTGTTATTCAAATTTACCTTACAACTGTCTGGATCCATGCACAATGATATTATTTCCCTGATGTTAACATATATACTTTTTGCCTTGTGCTTGTAATTTCAGATTTTCATAGTGTGGTTGGATGGTGTCACTTACTTGCATCACCATGGCTATAAGCGGAAGCTTCCTTGGTACAGGGGCAAGGTAACCTAAAAACATCAAATGAAAATGCAATCCAAACAGGCACAAAGATCCTACCTTCAGAGCAGATTTTGGCATACGAATCAAATTTAGTGAACTCATCAAGAAGAAGAAGAAGAGGAAAAAAGGCCCTTTTTTTCTTTCGAAAAGCAAATTTTATTAATGAATATAAGAGATATGCAACTTGTAACAATACAATGAAAAAGAATCAGAATCACAATAAAAGAATACAAAGGGTACTTATTGCCCTCATGTCATGTGTGTGCAATTGACAGGAATGGAGCTACCTACGAGGAGCGCTTACAACAGTAGATTGTGATTATGGCTTGTTCAATAAAATCCACCATGACATAGGCACCCATGTCATACACCATATCTTCCCTCAAATTCCTCACTACCACCTAGTAGAAGCGGTACATTAAAAAAAAAAAGGATGATTTTCAATTAGCAAGCATGTATGACTATTTTTTGGAGTTAATTACATGACGAATTGATAATGAAAGCTCCATTGCAGACAGAAGCAGCTAAAGCAGTGCTTGGAAAGTACTACCGGGAGCCAAAAAAATCAGGGCCTATTCCCTTTCACTTACTCAACACCCTGCTGAGAAGTTTTAAAGAAGATCATTTTGTGAGTGACAC